GGGGGGGGGTTCTGCGACGGGGGAGAGAGAGAAAGTCAGATTTAAAAATCTGATTTTCCAAAATTACTATTTTGCCCCTCACCGTATTTCAATATGACTCGGATTTGAGCCCGCTACGTATCTCCAGACTCAACTCGATGTGCTCTACGCAACGGCACAATCGGAATTTCCAAATTCTTTCCCGAACTTAAAATGACATTTTTGCCCCTTTTTATATTAAATAATATCTTAAAATTTCATAAATCTTAATTAATTCAAATTATTTTATTTTGTGGTTTATTTCAATTTCTCATTTAAACTTATTTCCTCTTATTCTAATTATTTAATTTTCCCCGAATAAAAAGTTAACTCTTAAATCATTTAAATATTCCCGGGGTAAAATTGTCTTTTTCTTGAATAATTTAATATTTAACTACTAATTTAGGACCGGGTTGTTACATGAATGCTCTTCATCTAATGAGGTCTTTGGTCTTGCACAATGCCAAGAAAAAGACAACGGATTGGTTCGCAAAACAGTCTATTCGCAGATAATTATATATTCATATATAAAAAATTGATATATTTAGTCTAGGGTTAATTACTATAGACGTCCTTGAACTATGGCCCCAGTTGCAATTAGGTCCGTGAACTAATTTTTGAGGCAATTACATCCTATAATTAGATAATAAGTTGCAATTGGGTCCTGCTGTAACATAATCCGTCGAGATTGACCATGTGAGTGTCACGTGCTCTTGTTGTTCGGGGTATCTTCGACTTTTCGTCGTTTTGAATGAAACAAATCCAATTCAGCTCTGAAGAAAGGGGGAAAGCACGCAAACCATCCCTTCTGAGGCAGCCATTGGAGTTGCATTCGGTGAGCTATCCCTTTTGAGGCAGCCATTGGAGTTAAATTTGCTGCAGCAGTGACTGAGTTAGTGAGAAATTTTCTGTGTAAGCTTCGAAATTTGGGGTTGATCGGGGGTACAGTTAAAGGTTAGGGTTTCATTTTGGGGATAGTTGGGTTTTTCAACCTTTTGGCTGATAGTGATGGAAGAGTTTGACTTCCGTTGGGGTGGTGTTGCTCCTAAATACAGTAAGTGATTCTGCCTGTTTGAATACGTATGAGTTGGTTTTGTTTTCATCTGTGTGGTCCATAGCTTTTAAATATTCCTTACACGCTTTGCTTTATACTGTCCTTGACTGCAACACTTAGGGGTTTTTTTTTATCCCTTATTGTCTTCTATCTATGCCTCACACTAAATGGACTGAAATTATTCCATAGCAATTAAAAAACTGAACGAACTGTGTACTGTATATTTTGGTTTTGGTGCAGAACATTGAATTAAAACATGGTTTTGTCTGATTTTATGATTCCAAAACAGGTGTGTGTGTTTTAGCATTGTTTTGACCCTTGTTTATTGTGCAGGTAACCATGAAAACTGTAGTTGAGAACTTCACCATGGGGGTGTGTTGGAAAGTGGGGAGTATAAAAATGGAAAAGTTTGTTACTTGGATAATGTTGTACAAGATTTTCTGTCATTGGTGGACTTAAGAAAGGTAGGGAAAGGGCTTGGTTACAATGTAGACATTTCCAACCCCAAACCAAATATGGAAATATGGCATAGGAAGGGTGGAACCCATGGTGTAGGTGGGCTTGAACTTATCAGCTCTGATGCTAAACTGGTTGACATGCTGGGCAAAATGCCATGTAATAGGATTGTTGTGTTGTACTATACTGAAGTGGGCAATTCTAATATAGTTTGGAGTCAAGCATCTTTTGGGTGCCAAGGTTTGGATGGTGCAGACAATTATGCAGAGGTGCAACACAATGTTCAGGTGGAAGATGAAACTGGGTGGAAGATAATGTTGATGTTGAAGATAAAGATGAAGCTGAGGTTGTAGACAGTGAAGAAGATGATGGAGAATTTGTTGATATTGATTACGAGTTCAGTGAAGAAGAATTTGGGTTTAAGACAGTTGAAGTGCCTGTTCATGAAGGGGCAGAGGACACTATGAATGGTAGCAACAGGGGGCATGCTTTTGAAGCTCTTGGAGAGGTGTCATCAGATGGTGAGCACATCTCAGATTTTGATACTGAAAGTGAGGGTGATGGGGATGATATGGAAGGGGATAATGAAGGGACAAGTAAGGTGAGAAGGAAAAAAAAACTGCCTCAGTTTAAGCAGTATAGAAGGGAGGTGGACTTAAAGAATCCTGAGTTTCGACTTGGAATGCAATTTGAAAACAGACAGGTTCTTAAAGAGGCACTCAGGGAATATTCCATTTTTCATGGAAGGAAACTGTTCTTTGAAAAAAATGACAAGATGAGAGTAAAGGCAATTTGCAACGGAGGATTAAAATGTCCATTTGTGGTTTATGCTTCACAGATAAACCAGGATGTGCAAACATTTGCAATTAAGAAGTTGAGCTTAGAACACACATGTGGGAGGGTGGAGAAACTAAAGTTTGCTAATCCCAAATGGATTTGTGACAGATTTTCTAGCAAGATTAAGAGAAACACAGATTGGAATCTCAAAGCTTTCAAGGAGAAGTTTTGGAGTCCTATCATGTGAGGGTGTCCAAAACTCAAGTGTATAGGTCAAAGAGATTGGCTAAAGCATAAATTGAAGAAAACTACATACAGCAATATGCACGGTTGTGGGACTATGCAAAGCAAGTGAAGAATACCAACAAAGGTAGTACAGTGAAAATTAAGTGTGATATGGTTGGGGGTGAAGCAATATTTCAAAGAATTTATGTGTGTCTGGCTACTTGTAAAAAAGGGTTTTTAGAAGGGTGCAGGCCTGTAATTGGGGTTGATGCTTGCCATTTGAAAGGTCCTTATCCTAGGCAAATATTAACTGATGTAGGAGTTGATAGTAATAATGGTCTTTTCCCAATTGCATATGCTGTGGCTGAGATTGAAAACAAGGACTCGTGGATTTGGTTTCTGTCTTTGTTGATTGAAGATTTAGGTATTAGAAATGGTTTATCCTGGGCTTTCATAAGTGATAAGCAAAAAGGGCTCATACCTGCCATTGCACATGTACTACCAACTGCAGAGCATAAGATGTGCGTCCGGCATTTGTACAATAATTTCAGAGCAACACATCTTGGTCTCACTCTTAAACACATGTTGTGGGTAGCTGCCAGAGCCACTACTATTCCTTGGTGGGAAGCAGAAATGGAGAAGATGAAGGAAGAGGACTTGGAAGCTTGGAAATGGTTGGTGCAGAGACCACCCAATAATTGGACTAGATCTGATTTTCATCCAAGGTATAAGTGTGATCTTCTACTGAACAACCTTTGTGAGAGCTTTAATACAGCTATAATTGATGCCAGAGATAATTCCATTTTGATATGTTTGGAAAGTATTCGAATGTATGTGATGCTTAGGATGGCTAATCGAAGGGCTGCTTGTGGTAAATGGAAACACCCTGTTGGCCCAAGGATATTCAAAATAATTGAGAAGAACAAGATGGGAGCTTCTCAATGCATTCCTAGATTGGTTGGGGATAAAATGTATCAAGTCAGTCACATGTATGGTGGGGAGTTTGTTGTAGATCTTGCAGCAATGTCTTGTAGTTGTAGGAGATGGGATTTATGTGGCATACCCTGTGCACATGCTATTTCAGCTATATTCCACAGAGATGAAACCCTGTTGAATATGTACATGAGTGTTATAAGCCAAAGACATACATGAGGTCATATGCACCAATAGTTCACCCCATCCCTTCTTTGGATCAGTGGGTTAAGGGTGGCTTGCCTCCAATTAGACCTCCATTTCATAAGCGTCAACCAGGAAGACCCAAGAGAGTGAGGACAAAGGAGGCTGCTGAGGTTCAACTACCAGCCCCAAACCCACCAAACCCTTTGCCTCCAGGTTACACTACTCCAGTAGCAAAACTTAGAAGACTCTTCATTAAAATTAGATGTGGAGCATGTGGAAAAGAAGGCCACAATCAAAGAGGATGTGGAAGACAGGTTGTTTAATAAAAAAGGGTTTTGTTATGCATTTTAATTATTTGGGTTGTGGTCAGTTGTGGTTGTGATTCTGTATAGCTGTGCTTGTATGTTGTGCAGGCTGAGGCAGCCCAAAATGGGCATGTTGGCCAAAATGAAGTTCAAGCAGCTGACAATGGAAATGCAGGCCAAAATGATATTGCCCCAGCCCAAACTAATGCTGCCCCGGCCCAAACTGACACTGCCCCAATCCAAAAAAAAGCTGCCCCAACTCAAACTTACACTGCCCCAGCCCAAATTAATAGGGGCAGAGGAAGAGGAAGAGGAAGAGGAAGAGGAAGAGGCTTATGGAATCCAGCTGCAAGGATGTCATCTTCACAACCAGTTAGTTGCCTATTATTCTTGCACAACTAAGAATTTTTTATGTTTGCCTATATAGTAATATATTTTGTTTGTGGTTTTTATCTTAGGTGGTAAGTGATATCAGTCAAGGAAGGGCCAATCTGCCAATGACATACTCACAACAAGTGCCCTTGCAACCATCATCCTCTTCACTTACTCAACAAACCACACACCATAGAGGAAGATTCAAACACAGTGTCAAAAGAGGAGGACAAGTATAGACTGTGAAGACATATTTTGTGGACTTTTAAGACCTATTTTTGGACTCTTATGTACTTATTATGTGGATGTGTATTTTGGGTGAACAATTATAGACTCAAGTATGCTATTTGGTAATGTTATTTTGAAGACTCTTTTGCCTATTCTATGTAATGTTCAGGTGTATTTTGGATTGTATGTAATGTGCAGTTGGTAAATGTTAATTGGTAATTGAAGCCTTTTGGATTGTATGTAATGTGCCCCTGTTCATTTGGTATACACTACCAATTCAGCACAAAATCAGCTTATATAGCAAAACATCTGATACATTGCCAAAGAGGCACAAAATAACCTTAGCCCAGGTTTCTGCCCATTTCTATACTACCAATTCCTGCCCATTTCTACACTATGTCCATGCCATCAAAAGCTGTTCAAGAGTATATACAACATTATGCCCATTTTCTGCCATTTCTACACTACCAAATCATCCATATTGATGAACAATATCGCAATCATTAAACACAACAGAAAAACAACCCAGAACCACCTTTGTCTTTGTCGATAACTCAAAATTTCCCCTTATAGTACAACAACTTGTTGACCCATTCCCAGATTCTGCTTTTTCAAAATCTTGATTTCTTCTTCCTCTTCTCTCAGTTTTTGCTCTAATTTATTCTTCTCTTCTTCCATCAATCTGAAATTCTCCGCCGTTGCTCTCAATTCGTCCTCCATTCCTCTTACTCTTCTAAGCAACCCAGGCAAGATTTCCTTTCCTCATGGGCATGTTTCATTCTCCACCCATGCGAAAAAATGCAACCCCCTCTTACTGTTCTGCAATTCAAACAAAACGAAACACCAATTTCAGACCCAAAAAACCAGCAATTTCATTCTCCAACCATGCGAAAAAACAAAACACCAATTAACCCTTATGCAATTCAAACAAAAACTTACCCAATTATTGCAACATGCCTCAAATCTTCTTCCAGGATTCAGATCTGTCCATGAAGTCTGGCGTTTGATTTCCGACCCACACTCGCAGTAACGACGGCTGCAATTTGATTCTGTCGAACTCTCCGACATTTTTCCTTCCCTCGCAGCCCCTTCTCAGTTCTTCAGTTCTTCAGTCTTCATTTTGGGGTCGAAGCCAAGGGTTTAAAGCGAGTGTTTAGATTCGAAGGAGAGTCTTCAGGCTCAAAAGGACCTTTTTACCCCTCATTTTTCCTTCCCTCTATATGAAATGCTGGAGTTTGGGGAGAGTTCACTACTACATTTTTTAGTTTGCGCGACGCATACATATTCGTCGCAATTAGATGTTTTGCGCGATGAAAAAATGTATGCGTCGCCCAAACTTCCGAGGATAAAAATTTTATATTTTGTAAAGATAGCGACAAAAATATTTGTCACGCTAGTACACTTTGCGCGACAAATACTCCCACCGTCGCGCAAACAAAGGAAAAAAACCCCGGGAAAGTCGCATTTGGAGGCAAAACTTGCGCGACGCTTATATTCATCGCGCAAATATATTTAGCAAGGCCAAAAATGTACTTGTCGCTCTAAAAAACCGCGGGAAAACAAACAGTTGTTCAACTGCTTCGTGCCAATTTGATTGAGCGACGAAAGGGCTTAGTCGTCGCGTAAGGTGGATGTCGGCGCTGCATGCGTGTCAAAGAAGGGATTTGCACGACGACACAGTGCATTTGCGCGACTAAACTTTGCGGTACGGATATAGGATCTTCGTCGCGCAAAGACGTGATGTCGGCACGTCTTTGCGCGTCGTTAAATTGGATTTTGAGCGATGGAATAGGTCTTTTGCACGACTAAGGTATTTTGCGGTACGGATATAAGCTATTCATCGCTCAAAGACGTGATGTCGGCACGTCTTTGTGCGTCGTTAAATTGGATTTTGCGCGACGGAAATTGTCTTTGCGCGAATAAGTTATTTTGTGCGACAAAAGAATGGATTCATCGTGCAAAAGGTGTCGTTTTTACCAGATTCAGTTTCAGCCATTGCAGAGGCAAACTGAAAAAATAGTTTTGCCTCTGCTTCTGCCCCTCTCTCTCTCCGTCTTCTCAGCCTGCAAATTTGAACCAAAGAGATTGGATTTCATTTCCTGCCTCTGCTACGTGCGTTGGGTAAGTTTTTTTGGTCGTTAGTGTAAAAGTATTATTGTAAATTCGTATTAATTTCGTTAATTTCGTTGTGTACAGGATATTATATGTGAATAACGCTTGGAACTGGACATATTGAAGAAGGTATGTTATTTGTTTTATATTTATTTAAAATATAAATTTAATTTCTTTATATATTGTTTTTGTGCCATTATATTTTTATTATGTTGTTAAATTATGCACGTTGATGTACGAAGTTAATTGAAATTAACTTCGTACATTTTTTTTTTGTAAAGCTTAGTTCCCGTTCGAGATTAGTTGGATGTTGCGCATGGATGCATAAAGCATGACTGCGGTCCAATTAATTCTTAAATTGTCCCATATTTTGGACAGTGTGGAAATGCATAGTCGTGTCACGTAGTTTATAGCTACAGGATTAGGTTTCGATTGTGGAGATTTCGGTGTCATCTGGTACGTTTTTCGGGTGGTACGTAGGTATTTTATATCTACGGTACACCTCAAGAACTGTACCGAGATGCTGCCAAAATTCATCCACGTCGAAATCTAATCTCATGTAGCTGTAAATTACGTGACATGACTATGCATTTCCGAATGGGATAGGGCCCTTACCGGAGGCATAAGGAAAGATTTTGTACGAATACAACATAATTATTGTATTGTGATTGTGGTTCCAGGAATGATGAGCAGGAGGTGGATACAAAACCCGAATAGGTGCGCAGACGAATACTTGGATGGAATCGAGGATTTTATTGACTTTGTACGAATACACAACCCGGGTGCAACTAGAATCCGGTGTCCTTGTAGGAGGTGTAACAACGTGTTGTGGGATACAATTGAACATGTTCAATTTCATTTAGTAAGGAATGGAATGATTGAGACATTGCTTCGTCTTCAAGAGCCACAAGAGTGGACAATGTTAAACCTATTGTGGATCCTAATGAACAAGTCATGGATATTATAAATGATGTTTTTCCATTTGCATCGACCAGCAGCAATCAGGAAGGAACGGTCACACAACCCGGGTGCAACTAGAATCAGATGTCCTTGTAGGAGGTGTAACAACATGTTGTGGGATACAATTGAAAATGTTCAATTTCATTTAGTAAGGAATGGAATGATTGAGACATACAGCACTTGGAACCATCACGGGGAACAATTAGACATTGCTTCGTCTTCAAGGGCCACAAGAGTGGACAATGTTGAACCTATTGTGGATGCTAATGAACAAGTCATGGATATTATACATGATGCTTTTCCATTTGCATCAACCAGCAGCAATCAGGAAGGGGAAGATGACGTGCCTACACCAATGGATAGTGCAGAGTTTGAACAGTATGAAGAACTGTTAAGAAATGCCAACCAAGAGTTATATTCGGGGTGCGAGAGCTTTTCCGTTTTGACGGCGATTGTGGAGCTAATGCACGGAAAAATAAAGTATCGTATGTCGAACCTGTGTTTCGATTACTTTTTGGGGGTTTTCAAGAGAATGCTTCCGACGGACAATTGTTTGCCGAAAGACCACAGACAGGCGCAGAAGATGTTGAGTGGTCTTGGATTGGGTTATGAAAAAATCCACGCTTGCAAAAACAATTGCATGTTATTCTACAAAGAGTATGAAACATTGGATACATGCCCTATATGCAATGAGTCGAGGTTCAAACAGACGTCTCAGAATAGAATGACTAAGGTTCCACAAAAAGTCATGCGTTATCTGCCCCTGAAACCAAGATTGCAGCGATTGTATATGTCTACGCATACTACCACAGACATGAGATGGCATAAGGAAAAATGGGTAGACGACGATGTGATGCGGCATCCTGCCGATGGGGAGGCATGGAAAGAGTTCGATCGAACGTTCCCCGAGTTTACTGATGATCCCCGAAATGTTAGGTTGGGACTTGCCACTGACGGATTCAATCCGTACGGGGTTCTAACCCAACACCACAGCACTTTGGCCGATTTTCGTATTCCCATATAATTTGCCGCCTTTGAAATGCATGAAAAAAGAGTACATGATGATGACTGTTTTGATAACTGAGGATCCTGGCAGGTTAATCAATGTGTACTTAAGGCCGTTGGTTGATGAGCTCAAGGATTTATGGACAAACGGTGTGCGCACGTACGATAAATCCATTGGGAAAATGTTCACTTTGCGGGCGGCAGTTATGTGGACTGTGAATGATTTTCCCGCATAAGCAATGGTGTCGGGGTGGAGCACAAAGGGTTATATGGCATGCCCTGTATGCAAGGAAGATGTAACTTCTGGTTGGCACGCTGGAAAAGTGTGTTACCTTGGGCATCGAAGATGGTTGCCATGGGACCATGAGTGGCGGGAAAATGAGAAAGAGTTCAACGGGAACAAAGAGCGTCGCGCAAGACCTAGAGAATGGTCCGGTGATCAGATCTCAGAACAACTTAATCGTTTGGATTTTGCTCCGTTCGGGAAAACAGTTAGTCGGACAAGACCTGCTACACATATGAACTGGATGCACAAGTCTATGTTTTTTGAGCTCCTATATTGGTCGAAACTAAAATTGAGGCACAATCTCGACGTTATGCATGTTGAGAAAAATGTGTTTGACACATTGATGGGAACGATTCTAGATATCAAGGACAAGACCAAGGACACGATAAAAGCTCGTCTTGATTTGGAAAGAATGGACATACGAAGGGGTTTATGGCTA